ATTTTTTTTTTTTTTTCAGTGGCCCTAATCCTCTTCTGTATTTACTTGATCAGCTTTAGAGCTCAACTTCAATTTGGGATGAAAGCAAACCGGTCATGTGACCACTAAAATCTAAACATTTACTTGTGATGCTTATATTTTTTATTATATGTTATTTTTTTATGCCTTTGCCTGCCTAGGGACTACGGATGAAAATTAGCTTTGTAGCTATAATCTGGCATATTTACATTTGTTTTTGACTGATGTTCATTAATGTGCTTTGTCCCTATTCAAATAAATAAATAAATAAAATTAAATTAAAGGGAAGGAGAGCTCCTGGATTAATCTGCGTCCGGTTTTATTTGGAAGAATAGTCCCAAAATCCAATTTTGCTCAATTTTTCCATCCAAAATAAGAGAGTGTTTGCTCTTTTTTCTTCTTCACCCCCAGAAGTTAGCAGCTACTAGCTGGAAGTGTATTTCTTCCAGGAATTAAGGAGTTGATTTTTTCTCCTGCTCTTCATCAGGAGTTCAGGTTGAAGGACTGAGCTTCAGGGGGCTGTCTGCCCTTCAGACTGGGGAAAAAACAGGAGGATGTTTGGGCATCTGGGCTGGATGCCTCCTGGATCCGTCTCAAATACGTCCTTCAGACGGGTTTGGGTGGAGGAGGCCTCGGGGCGAACAGATGACTGTGAGGCTCGTCCTGTTCCCCGTAGGGTTGTTACGATACTAACATTTTCAACTCGATACCGATACTCAGGAAAATACTCGATACCATTTTCGATACCACAAGGATAAAAACAAAGACCCCAAAATTTAACTGAATTTTGACAGGTTAGTGTCTTTAATTTCAAACTGACCTGTTACTAATGTTATTGTGACTGGTGGCCCACATTAATAATCCTAACCCTAACCCTAACCCTGACCAAACAGCCTTCATAATTGTGAGAAATAAATATTTTTTGGTTAAACTTGTTTGGACTCATTGTGCAAACCTATTTAACATACACTATTTTAACATAATATTATGGATAGAGTTTAGTTAAGTGTTCGAAAGATTAATTTAACTATTTTTAAATTAATGTCTATATTGCCATGAGGCATTACCATTTTGTTGCCTGGGATCTCCCTATCGGTGACTTGGATATGGGCGGAGTTAGATATGTACTTGATTAATGGTAGCACGTTATTATTAGCCATTAGCCGAAGCTAGCAGTTCAAGGCTAACGTCTTGTTAATGATCATAAACAACTTAAATAAATGCATAAACAAATCAGAGAGAAGAGGGGTGGTATCGATACTTTTGAAAAAGAGTATCGTATCCGGATACAACATTTTAGTATCGATACTTTTTTTGGGTATCGATACTTTTGACAACCCTAGTTCCCTGTTCAACCGGCCTCTGGAAACCCAAAGGAAAGGGTTAGCATCTGTCTGCAGCCTGTAGGAGCCTCGGCTGGATATCCAACTCCTCCCACATCCAAGTCGGCCATTTTGAATAGGTCATGTGACTAGCAGCTTTCTGAGGTGGAAACGAAACTTTACTGTCCATAAGAAATCGGGAAAAAAACGATGTCCTAACCCCAACCCTTTTAGCATGTTTTAAGCTCTTTTAGCTCTGGATATCCAACTCCTCCCACATCCAAGTCGGCCATTTTGATTAGGTCATGTGACTAGCAGCTTTCTGAAGTGGAAACGAAACTTTACTGTCTATTCAAAATGGGAAGACAAACGATGTCCTAACCCTAACCCTAACCCTTTTAGCATGTTTTAAGCTTTTTTAGCTCTTTGCAGTGTGTTTTCACTCATTTTAAAGCAAGATGGGTGCGTTTTATTGCTGTTTTAATGTATTTTTTAATGTATTTTGATACACAGTAAAGATTTTAAAACATTTTTAGCATACAACCAGGAGCTACCTCCTATTTAAAACCTTTTAAACCTTTTTACTTACCTTGGACTTGGATTTTTTTTTTACCTACCTTCATTATTTTACCTACCTACCTAACCCTAACCCTGTGAAAAAAACCTAGGGACCAGGAACCCTCATTTACTAACCCCGACCCTTACCCTAACCCTAACCCTTCATAATTGTGAGAAATAAATATTTTTTGGTTAAACTTGTTTGGTTGGTCTTATTGTACAAACCTATTTAACATCCACTATTTTAACATAATATTATGGATAGAGTTTAATTCAGTGTTTGCAAGATTCATTTCACTATTTTTAAATTAATGTCTATATTGCCATGAAGGAATTAGGATTTTCTTGCCTGGGATCTTCCTATTGGTGACCTAATCAAAATGGCCGACTTGGATGTGGATGGAGTTGGATATCCATCCTCGGCTTCCTGCAGTTTGCAGCCAGACGGACTTGAAACGGCTGCACACAAAAAGATTAAAGCCAGGCTTTAGAGGGGGGAAAATGTGGCAAAACGCTCCATCAGGACATCGTTCTGTTAAAGTTTTCTGAGACAGAAAGCGGAGGCTCCTCTCCGTTTCTGCCCAGTGACAGTTTCCAAAGCTGTGACATTTATATCCAAATGGTAATTGATTCAGAGGAAGCTGTTAGTATTCAGCTACGATTTAACAACTCTCCTGGTGGGGGGAGAAACGGGGTCCAAGGGGGGGAGAAAAGAGAATGGATCCTCTCTTTTATTGCTGGTGCTGGTGGTTGTTTTCTGGATTTTTAGGCAGCCACCCTCCTACACCCCCCTCCCTCATTGAAGGGGGGGTGGGGGGTTGGAAAGAAGTGTCTGGTTTCTTGTGTTTGGCTTCCCAGCATGACACACAAATACAGGCAGCCTGTGTGTGTGTGTGTGTGGGGGGGGGGTCCTTAGGTTGTCCATTGATTGGACACAACAGCACAAACAAGTAGCAGCAGAGATGTTCAGTAACGAAGTAGAGCTACTTAAGTACTGTACTTAAGCACAAAAATGCAGTATCTGTACTTTATTGGAGTAGATATTTATATAAAAAAAGCCTCCCGAAAGATTGCCAAATCATGGCCTTCAAAAATTTCCCATCTAATCTGAAGAAACATATCAAGCTAAGTTAAAAAATACAATGACATATAAGCTAGTAAGTAAGCGCTAGTTCAGTTTTCCCTGTAGGACGTAGCAGCTACTGTTAGCTAAAGCTAACCTAGCTGGCTAGCTGTATGCTACATGCTAGCATAAAGGCTCAGCTCAGGATTCAGACAGATGTAGTTTTCTGTTTTTTGTAAACACCTGTATGGCCTTTCACACGTTTGAAATAATATAAACAATATCTATCACACTTTTGACT